GGAAAGGTGGAAGGAAAGAGAAGAAGAGGACAACCAGCAGCAAGGTGGATGGACTCAGTTAGAATGGTGATGAGTGCACCTTTGGCAGACTTGAAAGAACAGGTTAGGGATAGATTGTCATGGAGAAAATCTATCTATGTTGTTGCTAGGAGTCGAAAACCACTTGCTGGTACATAATCAAATCCATGGAGACAGACACAACATGGAAAGCTATATTAACATTATGACTGGCACTAGTTTAAACTTTTGCCTTTTGAGCAGAGGTTTATCTACTTGTAGTCTTTATTTTAATATATGTTGCAAGCAATTCAGGAGCAGCAAACATTAATGAAGTTGGCTATGTAGGACAAGAGGATGTGGAAGCTGAACATTGTCCGGGATGTTTATTTATTTATAATTTATTTGGGGAAGTTGGTCTTACATTAAGATTGTCTTCCTTTCAGGTAAATATGGTATGTACTTCTGAGCACAAATGCTGTCTTCAAAGCCTAGTCTATAGTAGGAATACATTAAAAAATAATTGCAGATATGTGAATATTTACTATTACAAATACACTTTAAGACTTTCTTTGGTAGATTTAAAATCAAATGAATTGAATCACCTCCAAATACAACATCTTAATTATCAAGGTTGAGCATATTTCTTCCATTCAACAACACTCATATCAGTTGAACTATTAATGTGTGTAAACATAGCTCTTCAATATGATAACTAGCACTTCAGTTCTATATGAGAAATAACTGCACAAATGTAATGGGACTTTGAGTTGTTACTTATGGGGAATGGTGGCAGAGTCCCTAATAAATTCCTAGAATTAGGGCCTTCTTGACTTGTTTGTTTTTGGTACTGATTCCTGTACAATTTCAACTGGGGCAAAACTACTTATAGCATAGAATAGTAGCAAGCAGTAGTGAGGCAGGGGAGAGGGCAAGGGGAGCAAATGATAAAAACAACACCACATTGAAGTGATGCCAGCTCCAGCACATTTCTAGATGTGTTGTGATGTCACATACACATGGAAGGGGCAGAACTTGCCTTGCAATGGTGTGATGTTGCTTTTATCATTTTGACAAAAGCAGTGGATCCTAAGATTTCTCTGGTAGTAAGTGAAGTTACTTGCTGCTAGTGAGAGAGAAGTCTGTGACAGATTTCCTTCTCCACTTACCAAAGTCTGCTGCATTCATGGTCTCTAGCCTGCCTTACAAAGGAATATAACTTTGCACAATTACCTGATATTCTTAGATCTATGATTTATTGTTACCCCAACATTTCTTTAGTGAGTTTAAAGTAGGCGCTATGCTAGGGCTAGACATGCTTCAAAAACAATTGGGAAAAAAATGTTCCAAGCCAAGAATATCTCAGCTACTCATTAAACCAGTCTGCTGTTTTTCAGGCTTCTTAAGGTAAGGACCATTCCTTTAAAACTTGACTTCTCTTTTTTCAGGAGACTTGGAATGTAGATCCCGTAGAATTAAATGGCTACTCTGCATTCTCCCACCCTTGGAAGACCTGAAAGATCAGGTTAGGGACAGATTATCATGAAGAAAATCTATCTATGTGGTCACCAAGAATTGACACTGACTTGATGACACATAATCAACCTGCATTCTCTCTGACAGCAATTCCCAGCCAGGAAGGTGGACATCTCTTGGTAGTACCTAGTTTTCTCCAAACTCTGCACCTGTGTCTTCTCCCCAAACTCTTTACCATTGGCCATTAGTTTAAAAATTGGTCCTATAAATCTTCTTTTAAACAATGTAGATCTATCTCCATACGGACAGATCGATCAGAGCAATTGTATCTGGGATTATTTCAAGGATTAGCTTTCTGATTGGGTGGTCCAGTTCCCAAATTCAGAAATGATTATTGCAGATGATTTCAGTTCTAGGATGGGTCTCAATGATGAGTCCCTCCTTCAATATTTTAATATCCCACTTTCTTTCCCCCTTTGACCACCCCCCTTTGCACCCTATTGTGGTAAAGATAAAGGTATTCATACTGGGGGTTGGAGACTTCTCCCACTGGCTATGAGGGCTCTGGATACTAAGTGGCTCTTTCCCAGGACACATGGAGGGAGAATTCACTTTCTGGGGAGGCAGAGGAACAACCACCTTTGATTATTTGTTAAGTTCATACAACCTTGCAAGCCATTGTGAAGATTTTACCATAGATAGGGATAATTTCTCTTTAATAGGGTCTTTCCATCTTATTCTGAGGGCTGAAAGTCATTGTCAGGAACCTCAGGCTGATCTCCCATCTGAGAGGTATTTTTGATCTATATGGTCAATCAAATTTGGAGGTGCACAGGAAATCCTAAATATTTTCCAAGAAATTACTAGCTGTGTGTAGGTGTTTAAAGTCCAGTTCCACTCCACACAAAATAATTGTAGCCTCCACTTAACAACTGCATTTGGACTGGCAACTCTGTCGCTAAGCGATGCAATCATTAAGTGAAACATCATGTGACCGTGACCAACTTATGACGTCAGTTCTGCCATGGTCATTAAGTGAATCACCCATGGTCATTAAGTGTGACATCATGTGACTGCAACTTGTGATTTCCTGCTGGCTTCCCCATTGACTTTGCTTGCTGGAAGCTGGCTGTGTAGGTTGCAAATGACAATCATGTGACTGTGGGACACTGCAACCGTCGTCAATGCATGCTGGTTGCCAAGTGCCAGAATCGCAATCATGTGACCCCAGGGATGCTGTGACTGTTGTAAGTTTGAGGACTGGTTGTAAACCTACTTTTTCAGCACTGTCATAAGTTTGAATGTTTGCTAAACAGAGCAGTTGTTAACTGAGGACTACCTGTACAGCTTCCACCTTCTGGTTTGACAAAGAGTATCTCAGCAAAGGCTGGGATAGTTTCTGCTTGTAGACCCATGAAACACTATGACTACCAAAATTCCAGAGAAATTGCTCATTGAAAAAGGAATACCAGTCTTTTCTGGGTGGGTCAGGGGAGGCAAGGGAAACAATGAAATGAGAAAGGTTCCAACAAGCAGTTCTCAACAAAACAAATCATAGCTCATTTTGGTGTCTTGAATCCCATGTAGCCACTAGACCTAGTTCCAGCTCTAAAAAGTCAATGTTCCCAAGACCTGGGACACCCACTATTGCAACCTATTTCAGGCATCAGTCAGTGGATAAATCTAGGCTTCCTAAATTTCTGACCCCCCTCACCCCATCTGAGGGGCCACCAGTTTCAAATTCAGATATGATTAACTTGCTCTCCCATTGGAAGAAAGCAAAGTGGTTGGAGGGGACTTAATTTCCACCCAGATTCTTGAAAATAAATCCCAGTTGGTGGGCCTCTGTACTAGTCCCCTTGGTTGCAAGCATCAACTCCCTACTGCTACCTTATAACTGGAGCTATTCCATCCAATCCTGACAAGAATAATCTGGCAAAGGATTGCCCAATTATCCTGCCATGTACAATTAGCAAGCTCTACGCAAAACAGTAATAAACTTGCTGACTTCACAATCCCAGGGAACACCCAGACCATAGAAAAAGCAAGTTTCAAGCAAGGTTATTCGACTGTTGATCAGTATAAAAAGTCTTAACACTACAGTATCTGGCTGAGAAATATTTAAGTTCCCAAGAAGCTCTTTACATTGCCATTATCAACTAGAGGCATCTTTCCTCAGAATGTGGGGAAGAACTTAGCTGCTGCTTCCATTGACCACAGCCTTCTCAAGCTGATAATGCTGCTGCATGAGAACACTCTTATGCAAATCAAATGTAAAAACAATGAGAATTATCTGCTTGCATTCCCATCTCAAAAGGAGTCAAGCAGAGATGCGGTCTGGCTCCCTGCTGTTTTTA